CCAGTGCCGTGATCATGTTTTTCCCCAGTGATTTTTGGTCAACCTTAGACTGAAGAGCCCCTCCCCCACCCCAATCCTTTTCTACTCATGTACAGATTAACTCATCCAAGTCATTTGTATTGTGATTCCTGAGGTTTTAGAGGCTGGATGTGTATATAATATGTATAGTATTTGTTGGGGCGCCTGGGTGGCTCAGTTGCTTAAACATCTGACTCTTGATTTCGGTGCAGGTCATGATCTCAGAGTTGTGAGACTGAACTCCATGCTGGGCATGGAGCCTGCTTAAGATTCTCTCTCTCCCTCTGCCCCTCCCCCCCTCAAAAAATAGGTATAGTATTTGTGAAACGTATTTATTGGGCAGCTGCTATGTACTTGCGTGGTGCTGGAGCTAAAAAGATGAGTACAATATACTTGTCTTCAAGGAGCAAACACACTCAGGGCGCCTGGGTGGCTCAGTTGGTTGGGCATCTGCCTTCAGCTCAGGTCATGACCCCAGAGTCCCGGGATTGAGCCCCGCATCTGGATCCCTGCTCGGCAGGGAGTCTGCTTCTCCCTCTGCCCCCCACCCCTCTTGTGCTCTCTCTCTCAAATAAATAAATAAAAATCTTTAGGAAAAAAAAAGGAGCAAACACACTAGCTGGAGATTCATTTAGAAGTATTTATTCAGCACTTTGAAGTGTCCAGCACCAAGCAAGTGACAAGTAAATCCCTCTTGACTTTTATCTGCCAAAAGGTGGTGATGAGTACCAAGGAGGTGATGAGTACCAAGGAGGGCACTGAATCCAGCCCAGGAGGAGGGGAGGTGGAGGCAAGGCAAGGTTTCCTAGAGGAAGTGATGACTGATGGTCTCCCGGGATGGGTGGGGGTCTGCTGGCTGAGGAAGGAGGTGGACCAAGCCGACCTTCAGAGACCTGGCCTGAGGAGCAGACTGTACACGTCAGCAGGGAGCACCGAGCCGTGTGGGGTGAAAACAGCCCTCCTCCCACCCGGAAAGGTAGGGTGCAGGGAGTGTGGGGCTGTCTGCAGCCACCCCAGGCAGAAGGCTTGTTTCACTCACTTTACTGCATTGCCTGGAACATAGACCCTTAAACAATGAGATTTCAGATGCACAAAGTCAGAGCCTCCCAGATCATGTTCTGTCGAACACAAGATGCACATGCCAATTGTGGGAAGTCCACAGTTCTCCAGAAGGTTTGGGCAGCTTTTCACCTGCGCATCACAAGAAATAAGTGCTTTGAGTTACACACCGGGAAATATCCGTCAGCACTCAGGTGGCGTGGGTGCCAAGTGGCGGGTCTCATAGGTCCGATTCTCCCTAAAGAGGCTGTTCTCCGAGAGGTGAACACAGCTAGCTGAGGGAAGGCAGCTGCAGATGTGTAATGGTGAGAAGACCCAAAAGAAAAAGTGCAAGCCGTTGTCCAGTTGACTGATCTTCACCTTCCCCCACTGCCTATTCGTTCCCGGTGCAGTAAGCCCTCAGCTCTCCCAAGTGCCAGCCTTATGCTATGGCTGGAAGACATTTGCTCCTTTCTCTGGCTTCTTTGCATTCTTCTGACCTCTTAAAGCCATGGTGGCTCACAGGGGTGCCTGGGTGGCTCAGTAGGTTAAGCCTCTTGGTTTTGGCTCAGGTTGTAAGAAAGAGCCCCTCGGCAGGTTCCACGCTCAGCTCGGAGTCTGCTTGACTCTCTCCATCTCCCTGCCCCATCCCTGCTAAAATAAGTAAATCTTAAAAAAAAAAAAAAAAAAAAAAGGCAGGGCGCCTGGGTGGCTGTCAGGTCATGATCTCAGGGTCCTGGGATTGAGCCCCGTGTTGGGCTCCCTGCTCAGCAGGGAGTCTGCTTCTCCCCCTCCCTCTGCTCGTGTGCCTGTGGACTCTCTCAAATAAATCAAATCTTAAAAAGGCAGTAGCGACTCACGTGGATATTAAAGTCACTGGCTGTTCTCATAGCTGGAATATCAATTGGGAGAAAGTAGGAATTCTTGAAGGCGAGAGGTTGGGAAATAGTTTGATCTATGTTGGTTACTAGATGTTTGAGAAAATTATGCTAGGAATTCTGGTTTTCAGAGTCAAACAAAGCTAGCTAAATTTTTTAAGTGAAAGCTACACGAGTCACCGCTCACCTCTATTGATAACATCAGACTTATCACTGAGGGTTGGTCGTCCAGAGGGTCTGAGCTACTCTTGGACATCAAAGGGGGGGAAAGTAGTCCTTGGGTCACTTACACTGAGCAATCAGAGCCTGAGCCAGCTGGGGTCAGGGGTGGGGCTGGCTGAAGCCTCGGGGTCTGATGGATTTGGTGTCCAAAGGCAGTGGGGTCAGCATGGGCTCCTGGGAACAATGTCCCCTGAGGGGCTGGCAAGTCTGAGGCGCAAGAGGCTGAGCCAAGCCTCCAGAGCATCATGCGCTGTGCTTCCTGTGCCAAATGCCACCAAAAGACCCGGGCCATGCGGTCCGAGGGGTCTGGATCTGGCCCTCTGGCGGCAGTTGGGGTGGAGGGGTGAGCAGGAGCGGTGGGGGCAAGCCAGTTCGCGGGAGGTGAGGCTCCAGGAGGCAGGAGTGAATAGGCGGCAGGAGATCCCCGTCCCCGCCCCCCCCCCCAAGCCAGGCCCTGTAGCCTCTGCCCTCGGGTGTCATTTACCCTTTCCTTGTGCTGCGGACAGAACTGCTGCCTCCGCTGCCCCCCGAGCTGTGACTCTAGGGCTCCTGCACCTCTGCCCCTGTCCCCCAGCCCTTTCTCAAACTGCAGCAAGAGCTCCGCAAACTAATGGGGGTCATCGTGAAGGCAATGTCCACGTTGCCCTCGCCTGGAAGAGCCACTGGCCAGCCAGCGGCTCTGCTCCTGCAGGGGGAGCCACGAGGCACGGTGGTCTCTCCAGACATCACCACCCAGGTCCCGTCCACGGGAACCAGGCCCTCCCTGACCTTCCTTATGCCTGCTGGGCTGCACCACGAAGTCCCAGGCCAATGGAACTCCGGCCTGTTCCTTCCAGGCGCCCAGCGCCACGCAGGCTGCACACAGCAGGACACTGCTTCAGAGTTCATGGCTGCACGGGTGGAGCAGTCCATTTGTGCTTTTTAGGGTGTTGGGAGGTTTTCTTTTTTTAAGATTTTATTTGACAGAGAGAGACACAGCGACAGAGGGAACACAAGCAGGGGGAGTGGGAGAGGGAGAAGCAGGCTCCCTGCAGAGCAGGGAGCCCGATGCAGGGCTCGATCCCAGGACCCTGGGATCATGACCTGAGCCGAAGGCCGACACTTAACAACTGAACCACCCAGGCGCCCCAGGGTGTTGGAGGTTTTCAAGTGAAAACAGGGCACAAGAGAAACGTGGACAAGGGAAGCCATGGAAAAGTGGAGGGGGGGGACACCCCATCCCCGAGGGCAGGGTGGACGTCCGCCCCAGGAATCTGGGAAGGAGGCCTCGTGGGCAGACGGTGCCACTGATGGGGGACCCCGGACCATCATCTCTGTGTGCTCACATCCCCTAACGAGTCTGGGGACAAAGGCCACTCATCTGTTACCACTGAACTTGTAGAAATAATGTCATCTTATTTCCATCAATCTGACAAAAGCAACCATCCTGTCTAGGGACGGGAACATGGGACACTGGCACCTGGCTAAGCACCCTAAACAAGGTGCTCACGTGGGGCTGGTGGGGGCGCACTTCAGTTCCCAGCGGCACACATAACCCTCCGAGCTTCCAGAAGCCACAGAAAATTGGACTCACATTCCAGCGTTGCCTTTTGTATCAAGGCCAACTCTGATATGCCGAATGGAAGGCAAGATTCTCCCAGCTTCGACTCAGCTTGGGCCTGGCTTCTGGAGTTCCCAGGAGCTGCCCTGTCATTACGGCCACTTCACCGCTTCCATCTGCCTTGGTCTGTTGCCACTGTAAACAAACCAACCTGCCGTCCCTCTGGGCAGGGGCTGTGACACCTCCCTGGTCGCTGCCATCCCCAACCATTTGGGGGAACCGTAAAGGCGACTGTGCTGGGGGCTGAGCCCCAGCACCAGAAGACTCAGGAGCCAAAACAGGTTTTATTCAGATCTGTGGTTGGTTACAAACTTGGTTTGATGTTTGGTCACAGGCCCCAGAAGGCCATTATTCTGAGTTTACATGGAAATATAAAACTCGACATGTAAAATTTGGAAACTTAAAAACAGAAACAAAGGCTTGGTTTAAAATTGCTGTTGAGATGTTTTCCCTGGTGCGTCACCTGGATGAACGAAAGTGCCTGAGACCCTGTGGGGAGGACTTCTGACCGTGAACGCGTAATTGAACGTTTAAATGTCATCAAAAAGTTAGGGCCTTTTCACCTGATTTTACTGAAGAAACAAACAATGCCTGTGACCATCTTTGGTTGCAGCCCAGACGATGCCCGACTCCTGGCCGCATCCCCTCCGCCCACAGAGTATGAGTGCCTGTCCCAACGAGGCAGTGAGGCTGGGCCACCACCAAGCCAACGTGCTTAATGGCCTGGGGACGAGGAGGGAGCCAGAGGTGAAGCACCGTCCCACTGAGCATCTGTGTTCCTGGAGGATCTGTTCTCCTACAGAGTGGAATTGTATGGCCCAGCCTCGGAATTGCTGGGACCACGTGGAGAATGACCTTCACTTTGCCAAATGTGATGGGAGGTTAGGAACCAGAGAACCACCCTCTAACTTTCTCAGGAAACCTCCAGGGTTTTGGATTCTTCTCTGGAACCAGAGGCCGAGCTACTGTCCTGCTGTCGCCAGGGAGAGGAGACACGCACCACTCTGCCAACCTGACGAACGGCAAGGCCCCACCTGGGGAGCACTGCCTCCCAAGCTTCACACAGCTCGACCCAGGGTGGTCAGAGGAGAGAAAGGCCTCGAGAGCCATGTCACTGCAGGGCCCGGGGCCAAGGGAAGCAGAGAGGAGCAAGTGGCCGGGTCCAGGGCTGTCCTGTGAGACTAACAGTCCCGTGGATGCCATGCTCATCCTTGCCAAGCCTGGACCACACGCCTCCTGTTTTAGCTTCCCTTACACACGCCTCCGTGGCTGCAGGAAAATGCCCCATCGCTCAGAGGTAGCCCCAGGCTCAAGAGAGGGGCCGTGTGGCCCTCCTGCTGGCTGGGCCAGGGCAGCGCTGGGCCGAGGTCAGAGCTGGTGCAGCTTGCTCCGCTCGGTCAGCAGCGTCATGGCCACAGCGTAGAGGAGGTAGCCCAGCACGAGGAGCAGGGCACAGGCCAGGGGCCCGACACAGAACAGGGAGGCCACGAAGAAGGCCAGAAGCAGCGAGAGCAGTGTCCGGTAGCTGCCCAGGAAGCGCAGACTGAGCCTCGGGCCCCGGGCCCGGCTGACTGTGGACCCCCGCGCCACGGGGCTCAGCAGGTGCCTGCCCGTCACCCCAGGCTCCATGAGGTGGTAGCGGCAAAAGCTGCCGAGGAAGTCGGCCCGGGAACACAGGGCTGCCATCCGGCCTGCAAACTGGGGCGCAGACAGAGGCACAGACAGTGGGCACGGGCAGGGCCGCACGCTCACCCAGCCTCTCCCCGAGGGCCGCCCGCCCCCCGGCACTCACCCTGTGGTTGATGGCGGACGACAGACGGAAGAGCATGCGGACCAGGCTGGCGATCTCGTAGCTCCGGATGGGCTGCAGCTCCAAGTCCCCCTGGTACTCGATGTCAAACCTCCGCAGCCCATTGATGATCTAGAAGCAGGATGAGAGGCGAGCCCCAGGGGAGCCTGGGCCGAGCGGGCAGGCCCGCAAACACACCCGTGCAGACGCGTCCAAGGCGACGGGGGACGGGAAGAGCCCTCCTGGACCCGGACCTTACCTGGTACCGGCCTAGGGGAGTGAGGATGAGCCCGTCCTCTCCCACGATGCAGTCTGGGAGCTGCTTCTTCCCGTTCTCATCTTGCGTTGTCCCCAAGGCAAGCGTGAGCTGGGCGAGCTGGGCCTCGCTGAGCTGTTGGGGGGGTGGGGGGAGGAGCGCTCTGAGGAGGCTGCGTTGCTTCCTGCTTTCACTTTCCGGGTGAAGGGAGGAGATGGGGCTTCAGCCCTGAGCCTCGAACAGCGACCGCGAGGGGACCCAGACAGGACACTGCTGGTACAGGCCACACCTCCCACAGGCTCCCACAGTGGGGAGGGGGCACGGGAGCAGACACCGGGGAGGGGACGGCCCCACGGCTCATACTCGGAACATCTGGCACAGGTACTCCAGGGCCTTCTCTAGGTACTCGTCTGTCTTGCGGACACTGTCCTGCCCCATCTCGTCCAGGTCGTTGGCTGGGTAGCAGCCGTTCGTGTCTGTGGAGCAGAAGCCCAGCCACGACAGAAAGGGGCGGCCCGGCGTGCTCTCCCCACACTGGTCGGAGATGGACTTGGCGGTCTGCTTGGCCTGCGTGATGAGCTGAGCCAGGCGCAAGACCTGCGGGGCGCGCGGGCCGGTCAGCCAGCTCTGGTGGGCCGCTTCGTGCCACCCGGCCACCAGGAGACTGGCAGGTGGCCCTGGGGCAGCCCCCAGCAGGCCGGGACGGGCCAAGGAGTTTTGAAGACTAAGACATGCAGATTCTAAATGTGAAAGCTTTCCAACAAATGTTGCCTTTAGTATCAGAAAAAAATTAGACCTCAGTGAAAAAAAAAAGGGTAGGAGCCGCGCAGCGTCTAGGCAACACCTAACCTTAGCTCCCCGCCGCAAGGCGTGTGCGCCACCCCCCCTGCAGTTCCCACAGCCTCCGGACGGCCATGTGGCCTGGGGGAGCCCCAGCTCACCAGCGTCCGGACCTCGGGCCCAAACATCGGGGTGTACTTGCAGTCCTGGCCCTCCAGGCTGTAGACGTGGCTCTTCACCTTGAAGGAGGTGTCGGTGACGGCCGGCGGCCACGAGGACAGGAAGCTGCCGGTGAAGGGGGGCGCCGTGAAGAGTCGGTGCTGGCGGTGTGGGATGACGAGCTCGGGCTCCAGGAACAGCTGCTCCCCTGGAGAGCATGACACGAGTCTGGCTTCAGCTTCCACGGCATCCAACACCCCGTCGCCACTGGCAGGCTTCCTGAGCGCCCGTGGAGGCTCCCGAGGCCCCTGCAGTCCCCACCAGTCTCCACGGGAAGGCCGACGTTCACAAAGGAAAGCCAGAGAAGCTACTGCCTGAAAGAGCCATCTAAGACCTGACCGGAACCAAGACTGCTTTCTGACGCCACCACCGAGTCACCAGGGAGATGGAACTCTGCACTCTGCCTCCTCTCCCTCTGACACGCCCACACCTCCCGCCCGGCATGCCGGGCCTCAGACCTGCCCCCCCGCCACTGCACACCAGGAGCCCCCACGCCACCTTGGCCAGGCCGCCGCAAGCCTGTGAGGCACACGCAGGGCCCGTGGGTCCCTCTCTACGTACCGCTCCCCTCTCGCGAAGGGCTTACCTTTCTGGATCATTTCAGCCAGGTTGGGCTGGGCAAAGACTTTGGCCACTCGGAACACCATGAGTGCGTTCTTGGGGCTGACCAGGTCGGTGCGGAGCGCGCGGCTCAGAAAGCCCACGAAGAGCTTGGTGTACATGAGCAGGTTCTCCTGCACAAAGGGCGCCCTGGGGACCCAGGCGCTGCATCAGGGGCCACACCTCCCACGGCGCCCCACCCTCTTCCTTGGCTTCCAGACTCTCCCTAGCCATGACCTCCTGGTGGCTGAGGGACCAGGGAGGTGGGGGAGAACCAAGCCTCCTGTGGATGACACAGTCCTCCCCAGGATGAGGCCCTTCCCAAGAAGACAAGGCCTCTATGGCAGAGCGCTAGTGAAGAAGGGTGGCGGGGGTCGAGGGGCAGTTTGGGGGTGGGTGTGGACACCTGAGTGGACAAGAACAGCAAGGGGACAGCGCAGAGGAGAGAGCCACCAGCTGTTTCTGCGGGACATCAATCCCGGGGCCCAGGCAACACAGCCCAGTCAAGGGTCAAGGAGGGGGTGGCCTGTCCCACCCCAAAGAGGCCCCTCCCACCTGCCAGGACGACAGCGTGCCAGGGCTCACCATCTCTCCGACACACACCGGGGCTGGCAGTCACTGGTCTGAGCCTGCTTCTCGGGTGCATACCTCCAGGGCTGCAGGTAGCTCAGCCACATCTCCAGGACCTGGTGAGACACGTGTGTGCTGAGGGCCTTGCAGCCGGCACTCTGGTAAGCTGTGGGGCTGGGGTTTGGGGCAAAATCCTTGGGTGGCCTGGAGCCAGCTCCCGGGAGGCAGCTCGGGTGAGCAGGGATGAGTCTAACTGTGGGACTTCCCCTGGGGGTACCACCAGGTTCTGGCCTCTTCCCACCTGCTGCCCTCGGAGGGCCCAGGAGGGAACTCCGCACACCCTCCCATGATGTTTATTTTTTTATTTTTATTTGGTTAGAACGATTTTTTAACGTGCACGTAGCTGACACACAACACTACATTAGTACTAGCCCCTGTGACATCGAGGCCCTCCAGAAACACAGAACATGGAGTGCTTCCCCCCGATGAGCGGGTCAGGTGCAGCTCGGTGAGGCTGGGAACCCACCCGGCATGGACACCTGGGGTCAAAGTCAGGGCGCACAGAGTTTTTCTGTACCTGAGGGGTGGCTCTGGAAATTCAAACGAGCAGAACGTGAGCCCCCAAGGCCTCCTCACCAGGCCTTGGCAGTAACAGCTGATCCCTCCTGCATTCACCCCACGGGACCTCCCTCCTGGGGCACACATAGGGCAAGGGCGGCGAGATGGGGCTGACACTCACAGCTCTGAACGACGCGTCCAGGGGCCAGTGGCCGAAGCAGTGCTGCAGGAAGAGGTAGAGCTTCTGTTGGACAAACCTCGGGACGGCGGCCCTGCAGGGGAGAGGAGGGGAGAGGGTCCCCTCACAGGCGAGCCCAGTGTCTCCCGTTTGCAAAGGCCAGCTCTGCCAGGGCGAGCGGGGAGGCACTCCCTGGAAGTAAGGTCTCCTACTTTTGGCCCATTTTTCAGAAAAAGAAACCAAAGTTCAGAGAAGTCAGGTAATGTCCCAAGGTCACACAGCACACATGTGGATGATCTAGTGAGGCTCCTGTGACCACCTCTGCTTGGCTCTCCAGACACAAGTCACCTGCTCTGCTGGCCCCAGTCAGCCTAGGAATCAGGCCACCATCCCAGCTCTTCTGACGGAGGGAAGGAGCAGCAGAAGGGAAGAGGTGGGGAGGGCGCAGCACAGAGCTCGGTCTCCAGTGACAAATGAGCCACTTTGTGGCGAAGGGGCTCCCAGCCCACGGGCTTTCCTGGGCGTTCCGAGGAACGTGGTCACTGTAGAGCTCCCACTTTGCCCACTACTGGGGAGGAGGGGACAAGACAGGGCAGCAAGACGGGGCCTCTCTGGCCAGTCTGGCTCTTTCTACCGAAGCGGGCAGGCCTCGAACGAGAGGCCTGAGTGGGGGTGGGGAGATAAACCCGCGGTGATGTCCCACCTGCCCCACCCTGCAGAGGCCTCACAGGCCGTCCCCTCACACCCCAGGGACAGGTCACTGCGGGCAACATGTGTGCAGGACGAGGCAACGGCAGCCAGGGGCACGGGAGCCCTGCACACGGCCCTGTACCCACCGTTTGAACTCCTCCAGGGGGCTGGTGGCGTGGGAGTGGGCGGAGGGAGAGACCTGCTCGGGCTTCAGGCTGTTGGAAAAGGCGTGCAGATGCTTTAACAGCAGGCGCACCACCAGCACGTGCTCCTCGGTGGGCGTGAACGACTCCTAACGTTGTGGGGGGGGGGGGAGCAGCGTCAGGACCCAGGCCAGTCTGGGGGGGGGGCCCCCCAGGTCTGGCTATATCCTGCCCGGAACCGCTTCTCCCCGACGGGACGCATGGGCCACCCCCAGGGCCCTCCCCGCGCCTCGTTCGCTGGCCCCGAGACCTGCTAAGAGCACCTGCAGGCCCAGGCAACACACCTGCGAAGGGCTTCACTGTGGGCCTCACACCCTTTTGTACCCTGTGGCGGACTTGGGTCACTGCTGCCCGTCCAAGTCCTCAGGGGTCCCCACCTCCTGGCGAGGCAGAGGAGCAGCAGGGGGCGAGGCAGGCGGCATCCCCAGCCCCCCGCCCCCTGGATCTAGACTCCGGGTCTCCTGCCTGCCTCCCAGGTGTGTGGAGACAGCTCCCCGGGGCCCCTGGCTTCCCTTTTCAGGCAGAAACACTCCCCAGTTCCTTCTCCTGCTGCAACCCCAACCTTTCCTTCCACTCCCTGTCCTGGACCTGCCAGCTGGGGACTCGGCCCAGGGTGGCCCTTCTACTGCTAACGGACCTGTGGTCAGCACGACCCCCGAGACAAGAGCACTCTCAATCTGGGGGGCTGAAGTTCCCATTCACCAAGTTCACGTAGGCTCTTTAAGACTCAGACCTGAGAGGACAGCCTGCCTGCTGGCTGTGCCATGACGGAGAACAGGGTGGTCCTCTGACTGGCAGAGGATGGCACCAGCAGGCCCCGGATACCTGCCAGCTCTGGGGTGCCCAGGCATGCTCCTCTCCCCACAGTCACCAGCCCCAGGCCCCTGGGGCCTCCACAGACTCGACGGAGGAGCTTTCAGAAGCCTAGTCCGGATCCCAACAATGTTGCGGCTGGCAGAGGCCATGCCTCCTGGCACGGCCCGGGCACCCAGCCGCCGCCCCACCACGGATCTACCTCCACGGGCCCAGGCAACGCACCCCACGCCCAGTGCGCCCACGCAGGGAGCTACGGGGCTTTGTGAGAGCGGCTGCTGCTTCTCTGTGTGTTTAAGTCTTTATGTGATGAATTTGCATCATTTGCAGAAAAAAGTGTAAGATACTTTCATAATAACGAAATTTCAGAGGGCACTGATGCCAGGCTGTAATCTACCCCCTGCGCCCCCGGGGGCCTTCCGCTTTCTCATTCCTGGGCCCTTGCCGACCCCGCCACTGTCTCCGCGACAGAGGACAGAGCATCTGCGCTAAACCAGAAGTGCACCCCCTCCTCGTCCACACAGGCCCTTCCCGTCACGCTGGAAGCCCCTCGGGCTGTCTTCCCGCTGGGGAAAGTCAAACCTTTCTTCCAACCGCACCCCCCCCCCCACACCCCCCCCGCCCCCCGCCCCCCGCCCCCCCCCCCCCCCCCAGCGGTAAACCTTTCTTCCAACCGCCCCCCCCCCCCCGCCCCAGAGCCAAATCCCCACGGGAGCCTGGCCACAGCTGCACGTGGCCTCCTCCAGCTTCGTGCCCCTTAGGGACATGTTCCCAAAGCCTGGGCCATTTCTTCCTGGGCCCAGCTCTTAGCTAAGCAACCTTTCCTGCCATGGATGTTTCTCCAGGGATCCTGCTCTGAGCCAGGTGAGAGCTTCCCCAACACAGGCTGGAGTACTACCCACTTCTGTGCTCAGCCCACCCCTGCCGGCCCTTCTGGGACCATTCTCTTCCTTCTTCCCAGCAGCTGCTGCTTCTGAGCGGGAACCCTGTGTGTGCTCACCACCCCATCCCAGCAAACTGATTTCTCATCTTGCGTTCAAGCATCCGGTTAAGTGTTATTGTGTGCTCCCACTGAGGGCAACCGGACAGACCCCTGGCCTTGAGCACAGATCTAGATGCATGCTTTCTGCCCAGACTTCGTGGTGTTCATCTCGTGAGTCGTGAGCTACCAGACTCCATCAGCCCTGAAACAGCCTGCAGGTCTGAACCCCACCTATCAACCTCAAACCCGTCCACACCGGTCGTCCCTGCCTAAAGCAGACCCGTCTCCACAAGGCTCTCACCCACTCTTGCCCGCCTCTAGAGGAGCGCCCAAGTCCACAAAAGGCCAGGGCCTGGCGTGCTCAGGAATCGACAGCCTCTCCAGGCTGGGGGGTCGAGCCCTTTCCTCCCCGCCCCTTGGCCTCACAGAGGCTTGGGGTCGGCAGAGCCGCACCACCATGAGCCGCGGGGCGTCCCTGTGCTCAGTTAGGTCCTGAGCGCCAGGCCTGCACTGCAATGGGGAGGGCCGCTGCAAAGGCCGCACTATTTCCACTCCTCCGACCAGGGCCAAGCACAGAAGCACCAACTCCCTAGAGCGTGCGAACTCCGGTTGGCCTGGGGCTTGGCCAGGCCGATCTGGTGGCCCCACCCCCCAAACCTGGGCTAATCTGCCAAGCCGAGGGCCAAGGCAGGCCAAAGATAGCCACTCGCCATCATCCCCAACACACAGTGGCCTTGCTCTGTCTGGAACTGGTCTGAGTCACCCCAGCCGGCCCCCGGCAGGCCCCTCGCTTTACCACTGCACTGCCATGCGCTCCATGGCTCACACCACAGGGCAGGGGTGAAACGGAACAATAGGAGAGCAGCCAGTACTTGGTAGGCGTGGAGGGCCTGGAGGCTGGGCTGGGCGGGGCTGTGGGGGGCGCTGGACACACTGAGTCGGTAGTGCAGAACCTCCAGCTGAGAGACAACAAAACAGAGAAGCCGAGAAGAGGCGGGGAGGGCAGAGGGCAGGGCAGGGGACAGGAGGGGAGAGACCGGGGAGGGGACAGCAGAGAGAGAAAGACAAAAATGAGCCCAGAAGTGAGGAGAGAAACAAAAAACAAAAACAAAACAAAAGCACATCAGTGAAAATCCACACCATCAGAGCCCCGCAGCCTCAGGCCAGTGGGACGCCACCCTCTCAGCAGCCCAAAGGGGCCCTGCCTGGTGGGCAGACCAGAGCCAGGCCTGAGGGCCGCTCCTCCACCTGCCAGACAGAGACGGATGCTCAAGGTCACTTGGGCAGCCTCCTCCACGTCACTGGGCCTGAAAGTCCCTCCAGCTCCCTGAAGTCGGCCTGACTCACTTTCCTGCCAGAGGGTCCTGCCCTCCCTGACCTCCGTGTGTGTGGCACGTGCATGCTGCACCCCGCCAGGACCCCGGGGGCCTTGCTGGGACACATGCCAGCCACCAAGGCCCTGAAGGCCCCGAGGCTCAGAAAAGAAACTTTGGAGGATCCCATTCCTAATGGAGACCTCTCTGCTCAGAAAGAAAAATACGTCATTTATTGGACTTCCCTGGGTTGTCCCAAAGAGAAATTTACCAAATTGATATATGATGTGGTCACTTCCTAGGTATCAAAGATCCAATCAGTGGCCCCTCCTGAATGGTTCTCTCCGTGGGGGCTGATTCCCAGGGTGGCACGGAGGCGAGCAAGGCTCAGCCCACCAGGGCTGACACCCTCCACACCCCACATTCCGGAAACCGTTAGAGGTGGTGCAAACACTCATGGGTTCGAATTCTGAGAGATCCATCTCTCCCACCTCACCAGAACTCCCCAACTCCGGACACACAGAGCCCTTCACTAGTCCCAATGGGCCCCCGAGAATCTGGCCATGGCCACACACACCCAGAGGCAGCTGGAACCCTGAGGCTGGGACAGCCTGGGACATGGGTGACGACAGCTGAGTTGGCAAAGCTGTCCACTCCCACCCCACCGTCTGCCCTCCCCGCCTGCAGTGACAAGGCCTGCTAAAGCAGTCCCCCTTCAGCCAAGCACAGCCCAGAGCCGGCCCTGGCACACATCCTGCCCAGTGAGGGCCACGCCTCCCACTGAGTACCATGCTGCGTGCAGGAGAGGTCAGCATGCGTGCGCCAGGCCTTGAGGAGACAGGCGCGGCCAGAGACACGCAGAGCAAGGGCAGGAAGGAGCACAGCAAGGAGGGGTCTGCCCTTCAAGGTCTTCCTCTGGGCCAGACCCCGGGCTTAGCCGCAGCTCAGTGGGAATCAGGGAGCCCACGGTTCCCTGCTGGGGACCTGCCCAGTCTACAGGAACACCGGGCAGGCCCCACAGCGGCCTGCAGGAGTGTGCAGACTTCAGCGACCAACTGCCTTTCCAGAAGCCCTCCTCAGTAAGCTGGGGTGGAGGAGAGGCCCGGGCTCTATGAAGCAGGCGTCCACTCTGGACCCAGGCTATAGGTGTGGAAGCACCGCGGGACCTCTCAGAGCTGCACTTCCTGCATCTCTAACGTCAGAAAACAGTGACCCCAAGGCCAGAATCCCACACAGCACAGCACAGGCCTGGGTAGATAGTAAGGAGCCTTGGAAGGAGACCTCCGCAGCTGGCTTTCTCCACTTCCCACACACCAGGTTTACTAAGGTTTTGTTGTCAGCCTCAGTAGGAGGCCAAAAAAAAAACCCCAAACAAACAACAAAAAACCACAAACCCTCTCTGGGTGCCTGGTGGGGGTTTCCCGGTTGTCCCCCAATACCAGCCACTCTGAGCAGCTCTCACCTGCCCTCTGGTCTGGCCAAGAGGAAGCAAACGTGGGGAAGAAGGGGAAGGCCCCCCCCGCCCCAGCAGGTCTGGCCCACCACTCCTCCCAGGTGACAGACAGCCTAGAGGACCTTTGTGACTGGCAGATCTGCTAAAGATTACAGCGAGTGTGCCCGCACTAGCTCAGAAGACAGAAGGAACAGCCAGGAAGGTGATGCAGCAAAGCAGCCTCTGCCTCTGCAAGACCAAGCCACATGCACAGGGGCTGAGTGAGCCCCTCAGGACCCGAGGCGGAAGCCCGGCCCCCTGACCACCGTGCACTAGCCAGGAACATGCAAGTCCACTCTGGAAGCAGGAGTGGCAGCGCGGGTCCTCAGTGACGCGAGGGGCCCAAGGAGTCCTGGCTTTCCCTCCGTCCCATGTGGTGCCAAGGACAGAGATTTGGGGTACTCTGCACTGCACTTTAAGAGAGCAGCAGTTGGGGGTGCTCCCCAAACCAGTACTCAGCAGAGAGCAGGGAAGCAGAGCTGTTTGCCGAGACTCTGCAGCGGGAAAAGAATTGCTCCATGCTGGAATCGCAGAGGGAAGGTTACAGGCCACCCGTACAAATTTCAGGCCCAGAGAGTCTTAATTCTTAAGGAATCTCTCAAGCATTCTGTCTGGCGTCAACAAAAGCAACATCTAAGAGGCAGCCCAGAAGCGCACAGAAGCTGCGGATGGCGCAATGGGTCATAGGCTGAGGCTGCCCCCAGCAAGGCCTTGGTTCGCGTGTTTCATGCTGTTTCATGGAGTGTGAACCTAGGTGCCCGCCCTGCCTCTTATTAAGCAGACAGAGCCGTTCTACCCTGACAAGTCCACGGGGCAGCCGGCACCCCCCGGAGCGAGGGTTGCCGGGTGCCACCTCAGCAGGAAAGCAGAAGGCGCTGTGACAGTAGAGGAGACAGACCCGGCTGTGACTCCCAGAGGCATCCGCGACTCTCCTGGCCCCCCAACAGCGCCACAACCTCATCCATTCCGGCTGCCAGGGAGGGGGCTCTGGACGTAGCAAGGGGAGGACCCCAGAGAGGATAGGCCTCCAGCCCTCACCATGGAAGCCCACCACAGAACCAAACCCACCTGCTGCCCAGCACTGGAGTAAGGGGTGGTGGTGAGTTTCTGCCTCCCACCATCTAGCCCTTGAAAACTAGCTGAGATTAAGGACAAGAAGTAGCAGGTGGACTAGGGACACCCGGGCCAGAGCAGACAGGGACGAAAATGTTCGGCAACATACCTTGGCGTGAGGGGACTGCATTTTTTGGTACATCTCCAAGGAATAATGATGAAGCCACATTTCCACAAAAACCTGCAAGAGAGCATTGGGTGGTCAAATGATTTTCATCTATGGTGTTGTGACCATTCAAAGGGCAGTTCTTTTCAACAAACAGTGCTGGGAAAACTGGGTATCTGCATGCAAAAGAATGAACTTTTACTAGAAACAATAAATAACTCAAAATGGATCAGAGACCTACATGTAAGAGCTAAAACTATAAAACTCTTAGAAAAAAGCGTGAGGACAAAGCTTTATGACATTGGATTTGGCCACGATTTCTTAGCTAAGACTCTAAAAGCACAGGCAACAAAAGAAAAGAGATAAATCAGACTTCATGAAAATTAAAAAAATTTTGCACATAGAAGTCACTATCCAGAGTGAAAAAAGCCACCCACAGGATGGGGGAAAGTATTTCCAAATCATGTATGTGAGGAGAAATGGATATCCAGAATATATAGACAACTCCTACAACCAACCCAACCACAAATAAATAAAGCCACTCAATTCAAAAATGGGCAACGGACTTGAACAGATATTTCACCAGACGACATACAAATGGCCAATAAGGACACAAAAAGATGCTCAACATCACCAACAATGAGGGAAGTGCAAATCAAAACCACCGGGAGACACCACCTCACATCCATTAGGGGGGCTCTAATCAAAACCAGAACATCATGGGCGTCGGCACGGCCATGCACCCCTGGTCCCCTGGTGGGAACGTTTGACGGTGCAACCGCCAAGGAACACAGTACAGTGCTTCCTCAGAGCATTAAGCAGAATTACCACACGATCCAGCAGTTCCGCTTCAGGGTATATACCCAAAAGAATTGAAATCAGAGTATCTAAGAGATTTTTGTACATCGGTGTTCATAACAGAACCATTCACAATAGCTAAAACATGCAAGCAACCCCAGTGGCCATCCACAGATGAGTGGAAACACAGGAAGTGGTAGATCCATATGACAGAGTATTATTGAGCCTTAAAAAGAAAACTTGGCAACGTACTACCACATGGATGAACCTTGACGGCGCTCTGCTACACAAAACAAGTCAGTCACAAAAAGCATTAATTACCATATGATTCTGCTTCTATGAGATCCTACAGGAGTCAAAATCATAGCCGCAGGAAGCAGAATGGAGGGGGCCAGGGGCTGGGAGGAGGGGGTATGGGAAACTTGTTTAATGGGTACAGTTTGTTTTACAAGATGAGGAAGTTCTGGAGATTCCTTCCCCAACAACATGAATATATGTAATTCTACTGAACTGCATACTTTGATGGTAAACTTTATGTTATGTGTATTTTACCGCAATTCGAAGAAATTTTTTCTTCAATAATTAAAAAAAAAAAAAAGAGTTAGCATTAGCGTTCTGGTCCAGAAAACAACCCTCCAGCATTTCTGCCCCATAAGCCCATGTCCTGGCCACAGGCCCTCCTCATGGGCTGGCACAGCCCAGAATCCACATTAGTTGGGGGCATCTGAAGCACCAGGGCCCCTCTGCGAACAGGGAGGCTGAGTCCAGCCATCCAATCTCCCGGTGTGGTCTCAACAACGACATGGAGACCGCTGAAAGTGCAGCAGCCCATACACCAAGAGTTATGTACGAGGCAGGAGGGACAGAACCCCATCTTATCCATGTGTCAGGCCGTCAGTAAGTGATGCTCGTGGCTACCAATTCCGCCCCGGTGTCGAGAACCAGCTGAACCTCTCCAAGGTGTATTTGAAGAGACAGCCTGGCCTGGGAGGGAGCCAGCCCAAGCCTGCGTGAGAGGCTGGAGCCTGCACGAGGGCAGACAAGGGGCCCTACCACCTCCCATGTGGATCCCCCAACCCGGAAGGGATAGGGGCTGCCAGCCAAGCAAGGTTAGAGGCTTTGTAAGCCTTTTCTGGCCAGTGTTATAAAAACACTACTGGGGCAGGGGCTCAATATCCACCCAAATGAGGAGGATCACAGGAAACCTTTCCAGCATTGTGGGAGCAGGTCGGAGACGTGCGGTGTGGGGCAAGCCTGCACGCACACAGGTCCAATGGAAACTGAGCAGCACTCATACCACCACGAGAGACAAAACCCCACAGTGAATCCTGGGATGAACAGCACTGCCAATGACATCCAGGTTAGACAGGTGGGCACGTCAGAGCAGGAAAACACCAACAATTTAGAAGCACTCTCAGGCTGAGGGCAGTGTTTAGGCCTCTGCCCCCTGGGGCGGAAGGTGATCGGGCAGTTTATTTTGAAACAGAAGACGAGAAGGGTTTCCTCACTGTCACCTGGAGTAGAGTTTCAGACCTCCAGATCTCATGGGATGCAGGGTCTGCGTTCACAGACGTCTGATGAGAGATGTGTCGCTTCAGGAGGCTGGTGTGGTGGAGGCCATAGGAAGCGAAGGGCATGGCTGGCGTCCTGAGGGACACACAGAAACAGGCCTTCGTTAGGGGGTCCTGCCGGCACAACCAGGGGCGATATGAACGTGAACATCGGTGGCAACTGTAGCCATTACCACCTGCTGAATCACAGGATGGCCCCTAAATCCACTTCCCCACCACAGAGCGTGCACTGGTCAATGTAAGGGATGAAAGCAAACAACCACCCTTAGGCAACCATCCTATTAATAAGTGATTTGGCCAGCGATAATCAAGGGACACTAACACCGCTGATAATTACATAGTCTCAATGTATCTTCCCAACAAATCCCTCTTGCTAATTAACTTGGCACAAAGTACCCATTTAATTTTACAGTAGGAAAACCTAGCCAACACCCCCCTGGCCCAGTGATCAAGACAATGCCACCAGCACACAGACTCCATGGCCGCTGGGCCTAATCGCTAGGAAACACCAGAGAACTCGAGATAAGGGCATTCTGCACACCCCTGGGCTGCACCAGTCAAAGGCATCAAGGTCAGGAAAGATGGGAAGCCGCAGGGACTGTTCCGCACTGAAGGGGGACCAGAGGTAACCGCACGCAGCGAGTGAGCCTGCGCTGGATCCCAGCCAGGTGGCAGACGTTAGTGGGGTAGCTAGGGAAGCCCGAGTGGGGTCTGAGGATGAGACGGTGGCCTGGCAGCAATACCGATTTCCTGATTCAGATAAAAGCGCAGTGGCTGTGTAGGAGAATTCACTCGCTTTTAGGAAACACACTCCAAAACATTAAAAAATAGCAGGTGTTGTGTCTATAACCTACTCAAATGGCCTGGAAAAAACACGTACAGATAAACAGAATAAAACAATTCAGAAAGGTAGGTGAAGGACCTATGCAAATTTTTTGTTATTCATGGCAAGTTTTAAGTCTGCAATTCTAGGTTAAAATAAGCCAACACAACTGGGCCCGGAAAACAGCTTGGCACCTGAAACCTGCCTCTGACAGGGCGTGAAGCTGGCCAGCCCGGGTCCTTCTCGGCCATAGCATTACCAATGCCTGCGCAGCCTCTCCCCACTTGCACACCCCCACCTCCTCCTTTCAATCCCCTTTCCTCAGGGGCATTCCTGTGCCGGCAGGAAAGACCCCACCTCCCAGGGAAGAAGGTGCACCAGCAAGGTTGAGGAGGGTAAGGAACATGGGTGGCAGCTCCCGGGTCACAAGTGTCTTCTGGGGAGAGGGGGCCAATCGGCCCCTGGCTAAAGGCCTCAGTTCACCCTCAGGCTGAGGCTGGCTGCACATTCCCTTCCTGCACGGTCCAGCCACAGCCCAGCCTGCTTGGATTGGCACAAAAGGCTCTATACCCCAGGACCTCTGGCTCAGGCCAAGACCTCGTCCGGCAGCCTACACAGATTCCTCCTGCTCTTACTCCTCCTCACATCAGCCCTGCTGTGGCCTGCCTACAGGCCCTTTCCCTCCAGCACCACCTGTCCAGTGCCACCGATCAGCTCTGGTAACATCGCTCTGAACCCCCCGCCACCGCTTCTGTGTGGGGCTTGGAGGCCACATGCAGGCAGGGCTGCTATGGGCAGAACACAGCCCACTCCCAAACCAAAGCCAGGCCTTGTCCATGGGGCCACAGGACCTGCTCACTGCAAACCCAGGCCCAGACATCCTCCTCACCCCCGCCTTCCGGTCTGTGCCAGGGCAGCTGGGGTTGGGGGATCTCAGGCCTAAGAAACATTGGGACACCCGGGACAAAGGGTAGCACTACTGTCCCTGTGAGCAATGCCCACTGCCCAGGCTACTCCCCTGTGGAAGGGCCAGACTTTACAGGCTAGCCGCAGGGATGGGCCACCCCAGGCCAAGAGCCAGGGCAGCCAGAGAGCCTTACCTGGGAGCTGGTGAGGGGCTGGGCCCCCCGGGACTGGAGGAGAGCGGGGGGAGCACACTGCCTTCTGTGGGCAGGAACCATGACAGGTACCTGTCCACGAGGATGAAATAGGCACAGTCTGAAGTTCGTACGTGGAGAGCCCCAGGGAGTGGCTGGAAAAGCAAATCCGCATTGGTGTGTGGCTCTGTGTGCCGTCCCCTGGCTGCAGACCCCAGCAGCCTCAGGGCTCAAATCAACGAGCCCTGGGACATGGGCCACATCCCAGGGGCCCAACCACAAGCACCCAGGGTAGTACCGGGAGACAAGTTCCCACCACAGGGGGCCTGACTAGATCCCAGAGTCCTTTTTAGCATGCAACCACTTCCCACAGGAAGCCCCCCAACTACCACTCGGGGTGCCCAGGTCAAGTGTGCCCACCGGCCTGTCATCCTGAGTGAGGATGGCCTGAGCAGCAAAGGCTGGAGGAGGATGCAGAGGGCGAGCCGGAGAAATTCCCAAAGGTGGGAAAGGAAAAGACATGGACGATAAAGAAAGTCCTAGGCCACGGCCCCCACCCTCCACGGGGGTTTTGGTAAAAAGCTGCTCAGGGGCACCCCTCCTGTACCTTTTGAGTGATGAGGCTCAAAGCAAAGAAGAACATGTAGTACTCGAACGGATCTGATGGCAGCGTCAGGGGGCAAACGGGCAGGGCTACTGGGCCACCCCCAGCACTGTGTCCCAGCCCCCCATGGCCTCCCCAGCCCTGCGGGGCTGACAAAGGATACTGAGGGCCAAGTTCAGGCCGAGGCCCCCCGTCGGGGGGAACTGGACCTTGTTGTGGTACAGAGGGCTGTCGGGGAGCACACGCTCCTGGATGGACGCCTTCACAGGGCCCTGTGGAGACAGGGAGTAGGGCTTGTGGGCAGGCTCCGCAGGGTGCCCCCGTGCGGTGCAGCCTTTGGGAAGGGCTGCTGCGGAGGCAACCAGCACACGGCCCCTGCCTGGGGGAGCACTGCTGTCCTCTGGGTAGCGCTGGAGCAAGAGAGCCTCCACTCAGAATCGCTCACACTATCCTCAGGAAGACCCCCAAACAGCAAGGGCAGCAGCTGTGTGTTTCTGAGCCTCATCAAGGGCTTCAGGTTCCCCCATCTCCTTTGCTTCCGATATCCACCAAGCAAGTCACCCCTCAATTTACCACTGAAGGACTGGAAACTCAGAAAAACAGAGCAACTGGTCACACAGCCCTGCCTGCCACTCATCCAGGAACAAACCAGGTCGCATAGTGCCTTCTCCATGAGCAGAGTTGGGAATGATGCCTCCTGGACCCTGAGCAGACACCATGGCGTTTTCTTGCCCACGGCTGCAGCTGCCAAGCCCTGCCCAGCACCCACCACCACAGCCGCTGTGCAGGGCGCTCTGCCCTGAGCATGACGCTCACCCCACGGCTTACTTACAGGCAGGAAGGAGACAGGAAAGTCAAACTTATAATCTTCGGCCTGAAGCTTATAAACCAACTTCATCATTGGGCCACTGAACATGAAATTAAACCAACAAAAACAAAGCAATGAACTGTAAACCATCTTGCTTTGATTGTTTCTTAACTTTGAGAAATATACTGCTTTAAGAATGCGATCACCATGAGGAAACATCCAGCCCCTCTCAGGTGACAAACCTACCTACCCAGGGTCTAGAAATTCCATCACAATGCTGTATTCCACAGGACTCATGCGTCCCTGTAAGTAGCGGAGGTTCCAGCCGACAAGGACACCATCCAGGCTGCCAAAAATGCTCTCCACCAGCCATGGGAAGATGGCATGCAGCTCCTGAAATCGTGTTTGGGGGGATGGCTTTGACCAGTGCCCATTGCTGGGCTGTGTGCCACGGGGGCCTCCTGCCCAGTCCAGCACTACACCCCAAGTTGTCCACCTCCTTCACTGAGTGTGTACACATGAACTGGAAATTTCCAGGGTGAGAATCTTTGTCCAGGCTGGCTTCCTGGGCTACGCTTACTACTTGATAATTCTGGGTATGGCTTAAATAAAATACATATTTTCAGTGTGAAAACCAGGGTTCTCAACCTTTTGGGTTGGACACTTCTTTGTTGGGGTGGATTGTCCTGTGCAATTTGGGAAAGTTACCAGCATCACTGGCCTCTACCCACTCGATGCCTGTAACACCCTCTCCTGTGTGACAGCCAAAAATGTCTCTAGACATCGCCAAGTGTCCCATGCAGGACAGAAGCACCTGTGGCTGAGAACCCCTGGTCTACATGTTGACATGTTTAAATGTGTTCATAAATGTGTCCAATACTAGGTCAGGCCTCTTTGCAGGGCAGTGCTCAGAGTTGGGAATCAGGGGCTTTAAGAATGTTTTTCAAAGACTATATGAGACATGCCCTAAAGAGATGCGAGCAGAACTGTACCTTTGCTGGAAAATCCTCGATGACTTTAACCAAGTCTTGGCACCGCTGTGCAAAGGGCTTATTAATAGAGTCAGCTTTCAGGCTAGCCTAGAAGATAGAACAAACCAAAAAAAAAAATCATGAGCATATTCACTTGGCAGCTGTTTTCTGGCTCAAATCAAAACAGAAACCCAAGTGATAGGTAGGAGTCAGACACGCCATGGGCATGGCTCCCCAGCATCTCGTGCGTCAGGTCATGCGTGTGTCAGTGGCCTAAAGGATGCAACTAGGAGAGGCGGGGGTCCTTTGCTCTCCAGACAGCCAACTCTCAGGCTTCTTCCCTGCACCCTCTGTCAGGCATCCCCAGTTACGGCAGGGTACTACACATTTTCACGACAGAAGTGACTTCCACCCAATCCAGAGCAGGGGGTCAGCTCCAGGGTCAGCCCCGCAGCCAGAAGAGGACCCTTATTGTGTGGGGCACCCCTCACAGACCACAGAGTACTCCCTGAGTGTATACACACGAACTGGAAATTTCCCTGTGATGACCACCCATGATGACACCACTGTGATCATCAGTGAGGATGCCCAACAACACAAGGGAGACAGCAGAAGCCCTCTTAACCAAGCTCTCCTCTGTTCAGGAGATAATGAGCCAAATGAATTCATTACCTTAAGAAACAAGGCAGGCTAGAAATGACAGATGGCTTTAACCAAATGTCAACACTAATCATGAAGGCGATGGATAAGCCAGGGAACATTCAAGACAAGAATGAAGGAAATCTACCTAAGGTCGTGGGGTGTGGATTAAGATCAGGAGGAAATGCCAGAATTTGAACCAAGAGGGCTTTGCCCAAGGCTATCTAAGGCCTGAGCCACCTCCAAATGAGGGTGGTGTCTCAATCAGAGATAAAGATCTGGGCTGTTGCAGCCACGCACTGTGGGAAGGTTCCCCGCATGCCTGGCCTCTACCCACTGAATGCCAGTAGCACCGCATGTGTTGGCTCTAGAAGGGGCACCAAGGAAGGATGTCCTTCTGAATAAACGTTTACAAAAAGTATCTTCTGGGAACTGAAATAAAGAATCCTCACACCATGGCTATCTGCCTCACATGTAATTTCCCGGCATCATGTTTAATACTGAGAGTGCAATCCTGCCAATTTCCAATGATGACAGTTACGATTATTAGAATACCCCGTGAAGTGTGTAAAGATATACAAGATGTGAAAATTCTGATGTATATCCTTTCAAAAGTAGTGAAAATGGATTTGAATCAACCTACCTTGTAGGTGAGAAACTCATCTTGTAGATGAGAAAACCAGGGCTCAGGGGTTCGAGTAAACCCAATGTCCTACACCGGAAGGGGCCAGGGTCAAGTCTAAGGATTCTAACCCCCAGGCCAACTTCCTTCACATCCCCTCAAAAAACCCCCAGCAGAGGGGCGCCTGGGTGGCTCAGATGTTTAAGCGTCTGCCTTCGGCTCAGGTCATGATCTCAGGGTCCTGGGATCGAGTCCCACGTCGGGCTCCTTGCTTAGCAAGGAGCCTGCTTCTCCCTCTGCCTGCCACTCCCCCCGCTTATACTCTCCCTCTCTCTCTCTCTCTCTCTGGCAAATAAATAAATAAAATCTTTGAGGGGGAAAAAAAAACCCAGCAGAAAGTTCAGGTCAGGGGAAAGAACTCGCAAGTCCCTGAGCTATAGAACAATCATCATGCTGACATTCCCACAGGCAGCTGGTACTTACCAACAGAAAGCTGGGCTGCTGCAGGTGAGGGAACGCCATAGCAGCCTCCTGGGGGCCGCTGACAACGGCCGTCTTAGGAAACCACTGTGAAAAAACAAAGGCGACATCTCAACATCTGCCACACAACGGATTATATTGCCTTACAACGCCCAAGGGAATATTTGTATAATTCAATACACTCTGCACTGCCGAATTCCACGTTTTATAGAAATGCCGGTCTGATGCAGTCTGCAATGGCCAGCTTCAGAGCCAAGTGTGCAGTGGCGAATCCTTAGTAACACTTGTACAGCACTTGCTGGGTGCCACACCTGCTTCTAAGGACCCTCTGTATATTTCCTCGTTTAATCCTCAGGGGTAGGCAGAATTTTAAAGATAGCCCTCCAAGATTCCTATCCTTGGGTATTCAATCAAATGCTCATCTAGGTATTATGAAGGAATTTTGCAGATATGACTGAAGTCTCAAGGGGGCGGAAAATAAGATACAGAGCAGTTCCAGCTGCCAGCCAGTAAGGAAACGGGGACCTTAGTTCTACAACCCGAAGGAATTGGATTCTGCCAGCAACTTGAATAAACTTGGAAAAAGATTCTTTCCGAGGGCTTCTAGGTAAGAACAAAGCCAACCAACACCTTGATTTCAGTCTTGTGATATCCTAAGCAGAGAACCCACTGGAGCCTGCATAGACTTCTGGACTATATAACTCTGAAATAATAAGTGGATGCAGTTATAAGCTGCTAAGTTTGTTAAGGAAAAATAGAAAACGTATATCCTCACAACAATCCTGTGAGGTCAATACAGATAAAAAGAAGTGGAAGCAGAGAGGAGATAAGCACTTGCCCTCACTTAGCTGGTAAATGGCAGAGCCAAGATCCTAAGACACAGACCTCCGAACACATCTTCCAGAGAGACAGGTATGTCACCTGTGCTCTACGAGAATGAATGAAATGAATGGAGAGGATGAGCAAGCTCAGCCGAGGGAGCTTTTGAACAAGCCATCAGAAAATCAGGAGCAACTCTCTAGATTCCTCTTTCTGTCCACCCAGGTCAGAAACTGAAAATAGCCAGACGTGGACTGAACAGAAAGGGAGCCTGCCTAGTCCCACTGACGATGGCCTTCCTGGCACAGCTCTGCCCACAGCATGAGTAAGGGTGCTGAGGTGGCAAACAGAAGTGTATGTGGATGAGGAAAGACTAGGCGCAAGGAAGCTGTGAGGCAGTGGAGGAGTTGAGAGGAGATGTGAATCTCTGCCTCTTGACAATAGAAACACCTCCAGGGTTTTTTCAATTCTCTGCATGATACTAACTATCAAATTCAGTTTTAAGGAAGACCTCAAAGGCCTCAGTCCTGAACCACTGTGATTAAAATGACCAAAGCAAAATAATCAAAGCAGCATAAAATCTGGCCTGTTTGCAAAAGGGCAAAGCTTTAGAGATGATGAGGTGGAAGTACCTCCTTGTTCAGAGGAAGCCTGCACTGGCATGAGCTCAGGACTGAGGCCCAGAGGTGCCAAAGCAAGGAGTCTTTCCGAGAGAGGGCAGTGTCTCCTAAGGCCCTGTTCTCTAATCCTACCCCAGCCAGGCTCCTCCATCACACCCTTCTCCACTATGTACCAAGTGTTCCCTTCATCCGCCACTTTACAGCCACTTTCTTCAGTGGCTGCTTCGGATCTTGTTTTTGAGGTTTCTTCTCAGAGTGGCAACGCAAATCACATTACTGCCAAGGCCTCCCTCTGGCTGCGCTCTGAGAAGCAGAGGATGCTCCCATTTGCTGCTCACAACTGCCCTGTGAAGTGAGCATCGGGATCTCCATAATACAGATGAAGAAACTGAGGCTCAGGAAGGTCGGCCCACACAGGGAAGATGAGTCGGGTGAGAATCCACACCCGGCTCTTCCTCCCACACAGCTTGTTGAGCCCAAGGCTCAACTTCAACTCGAATCTCTCCTTCCGCCCACTCGTTCAACGAACGTAAACCGGGCACCCACCAGGACGGGGTGTGCGAGGCGCGCGAGAAGGTGGCATGAAGGCGCAGCCGGGCCCTCGGTTTCCCAGCCGGCCAGCCAGACAAGGGGCACACACACCAACGCCCGGCCCGAGGCCTGCGGCTCGTGCAGGAACTGAGATGGCTTCGGCGGAGGGTTCGGGGGGACATAAGACCGTCCCGCACACGGCTCCCAACACTCACCTGTGGGACCCATGAAGTCGCTCGCCTAAGGGACGAAGACCGCCATTCGGCTACCCGGCACCGAAATGTCGTCATCAAGCTGCGCCTGGCGTCACGGCTCCCCTCGCCTGGCGGGAAACACACCACCAACTCGGCCGGCAATTATCTCAAAAGGCGCATGCGCAGAGTGAAGGCCGGCGGGTTTACGGGTTACATCTCTGAAGGCGCGTGCGCAGTGGGGGCAGCAGCGTCCCTTAACCCTGAGTTCTTGGACTGTAGGAACTGTAAGAAGCGCGCGTGCACGTAAGGAGACTGTTTAGTAGGGTCCTGGAGGCGCGCCCCCTAATGGGGAACGGGCGCAGAATAATTGTACGCTGCAATGACCTTCTTCCGACAGGCCTTTATTGAGCCCCTACTATATGCCAGGCACTGCGCTGGGGCTGCTGCCCAAGTGAGAATGACCAATGCAGTCTGACCCTGACCGCCCAGAAACGTGTCTCTGCGGTCAGCCTCGGTATCCCCCACGCCTAACACATCTCCCTATTGTGGGATCACTGAGTGCAACCGTCAGGAAAGAATTCTTGAGACTCTTGGTGCAACTTAGTAAGTTCATTGAAGTAGCACAGGGACAGGGCCTGTAGGCAGAAACTGCTGCACTTTTGCTGTATGAAGCTGGTGGTTATATGCTTAGTGTTCGATAGGCGGAGGAGCCGTGCAGGGAGTATTGGATCATAAATGTCTTCTCGGAATTTCTAGTCCTAAAGCTACTTTCGCAAGATTTCTCTAGTGCTTATCGTTCAGCTCGATATTAACTGGCAGTCATGAGACCCTTTAAGAATGTAGCAGCCAGTACTTATTGATCCTTATCAAAACTATTCAGGTTATAGGTCAGCCTTCGGGGCTAAAGATGAACATTTTTCTGCTTTTATCACGTCTCATGCCGCAGGCAAATGCGGATCAAATGGCGGAGAGGAGACAAACCGGTCCCTGAAGGGCCGCGCGGGGGCCAGTAGAGGGCGCTGTGAAAGCGGCGGAGGGGCGCGGCGGAGGTGGGGGCAGAGGGGCGAGCGCGGCGCTCACCTTCTCGCCGGGCGTGTATATGGCGGCGCCGGGCGCAGGCCCCGGGCCGGGAGCGCCCCCGGGGCTGGAGGCGGCCCTGCAGAAGCTCGCGCTGCGGCGGAAGAAGGTGCTGAGTGCCGAGGAGATGGAACTGTACGAGCTGGCGCAGGCGGCGGGTGGCGCCATCGACCCCGACGTGTTCAAGTGAGCGCGAGCGGGTGGGAGTGCGCGCTCGTCCTACCCCCAGACGCCCCTGCTCTCCCGCTCCCCTGCCCCGGCCTTTGGTCTGGAGGGGCCCTGCCGCCCTTTTCGGACCCCTTTGGGCGCCCAGAGTAGAGTTGGGGTCCTGAGGGAGGTGGCCCTCCTACGCCCGGGCAAGGAGGGCTCACTGTCCACCGCCTGTGTTCTCTCCAGGATCCTGGTGGACCTGCTGAAGCTGAACGTGGCGCCCCTCGCCGTCTTCCAGATGCTCAAGTCCATGTGTGCTGGCCAGAGGCTGGCGGGCGAGGCCCAGGACCCCGCGGCCGTGTCTCTGCCCACATCGAGCGTGCCAGAGACCCGAGGTCAGAGCTGAGCCCCGTGCGCCCTGCCCCTGCGGCTGAGGCGGTGGGTGGCAGGGGAGGGAAGTGGGCAGCGCCAGGCACAACGCAGGCTTGGCCCTGAGTGGCCCGGTCCTACTGTGGGTCTTCTCCCCGGCCCTGCAGGGACCATCCAAGGGCCCCCCTCTTGGTTTCCAGTCCCCAGCTTTGGCTTCGTTGCTACCCTTGAGAGTGCACATGTGCAAGTCCAGATCAGGCGGATGCAAAATGGGTGTCCAGAGTGGCCCAAGTATGCTAGGCCTCATCTAGGATTCTGCCTACCTTCTTGGGTAGAAGTGCTTTCATTCCACAAAGACAGGAACAAGGTGGTTTTGGTTCCTGTTCCCAGGGTGTGTACAGCGTCCAGGAAAATGCTCAGGGAGTGGGCCAGGCAGAGGCCCTCCTGCCCCCTCTTCGTCTGTACCCCACCAGGGCCCAGGTGCTGCTCAGGAACATAGCCAGCCGAGCTTCCTTCCTCAGATTGCAGGACAGGGGTCAGTGTGGCAGCCCCAGGCTACCCTAGACACACGGGGTGCAGAGGCCTGAGTGGGCACAGCACTGGGCTCAAGTTTCAGGGGCCTCCTCACTCTTGAGAGTCACGACTGGGGGGATAAGCGGGTGCTGCTATAAGGGTGTCCAGTAGAGTTCCAACTGCGGCCTTCTGGTGTGTCGCATCTGCTCCCAATTTCAGAAACACGCTGAATGCTTGGCCAGAAGCGCTCAGGCACTCACAGACATCCTGAGAAGGGGCTGGTGTTGGGGTTGGGCGCAGGCTGGGCCCCCGTGGGTGGGAGTGCCAGGGCCCTGGGTACCCACGCCCCCTGTCCTGAGAGGCCCTGGGCACTGGAGCGCAGGCTTCCTAACTGATCCACACTCTGTCTACTCTCTTTGTGTCTCTCTCTGACCTCCAGAGGCCTCCTTTCTCTCTGCCAAGAACTGTAGTCCCCCTGCAAGGCCCTCCTTTTCCTCGGCCCCGCGGCCTGCGGCCTCTCCGGTTCTGCTCCACGGCCCAGCTGCCACGCACTCGCCTCTCTCTCCAGGGCCCCCCGGTTCCCTCCGGTTCTCTTGCTGCCTGTTCTCTCCTTTCGCAGGTTGCGTTTATTGGTTTATCTCTGGGGGTTGGTGCTCTTTCTTGTTTCTGTGGAAACTGCTGTGGCCCCCAGAAAGTCAGAGCAGCTTTGAGATGAGCTGCAAGGGCAGGACCTTACAGGTCATTTCTGCCACACAGCTTAGAGGTCGGGACACGATTTCATGGCTCAGTTTATTAGAGACAACCTGCAGTTCTTCTAGAATGGGACCAACACCCTCTGCTATGCAGAGGCTGGCTCTACTAGGTGAGACTCTACTAGAGGCCGGCTCTACTAGGTGTACTCTGTGGAGGTGCCCTCACCCCAGAAGAGGACAATAGGCAGAGGAACAGGAGAGCCTTTACTTTGATGTTGAGGATAAAGCCTTAGGTATGAGATATGCCTTGGCCCCTTAAATGCTGTCACCCACCTGGACAGGTAGCCTAGAGGATAAGCTGTGATTACCCTTTCCTGCCTGCCTCCTGAACCAAGGGTACCATCCATGGATTGCCATGTGTGATGAGGCTGGAGCCCCAGAACCAGCTGGGTGTGTGAGGGCCTGAGATCCCACAGGTGCCCTGGCTGTCCTCTCCATGTCCCTCCCCACATCACCTACCTCGCTGTTCTGGGTGCCACCTGGAGCTCAGGCCGGCTGGGTGGGGGAGGGCCAAGGGGCAGGTCCGGGCAGAGGTGGGTAGACTACAAGGCTGAATTGAGGAATCAATGGGCAGAAGGAGAGAGAAACTGGGAACAGCCCTCGTTTGAGGGGGCATTGCCGCTTGCTCACCCAGTGACTGGGTACCCAGCTGGCTCTCAGGGCTGAGGACTCAGGGGCGCTCTGAGGTGGACACGTCCTCCTTCCAGGGAGGGAGATGGCTAGATCAATCAGTGGTGACAGAGACGGGAGGTAGCCAGTGTAGCCGGCCTTGCTGGAGCAGCAAGTGTTAAGTGGGCTCAGAGTCCTGTTGCCCTGCAGCCCTTTGAGGTAGGGGGAGTGGGGAGGGCTCCAGCCAGAGATGCAGGCCCACACCCTTGGTGGGAGCAGACCCAAGTTTGGAGGGGGGAAAAGGGGAGGGGAGGGTAGAGAGTCAAGAGGAAATGTGGGTTTGGCGCTGGGAGCACTGGCATAGAGGGGCTCTGACGGAGGTGGGAAGGAAGCCCCAAGCACAGGGATAGAAGTGGCATGGAGTGCTGGGCCCCATGAGGTTTTCTCAAGTGCTTTGGCCTTGGGTCTGCTGGGTTGGGCAGCCAGCAACAGGATATGAGGACATGGAGGCCCTGGGGAGATGCCCAGTGAGGGTAGAGGGCAGCCTGGAAAGAGGATTTGGTGGGGAGGCACTGAAGGGGAGCCGGGCACATGAGCGGGGCCCGTGAGGGGCCATGCCAGGAGTGTGCGGTGGCCAAGAGGCAGAGGCTGTCAGAGACCAAGAGCTCTGAGGCCACATGTGCAGAATCTGTCCACACAGAGCTTGGGCAGGGTCTAGGATGGAGAAAACAAGGAGAGTTGTCAGAGTGATCAGTTGGGGGACTGGTAGTACGAGGATTGTGATGGGGGCTTGGGGCTGTTGGGGCTAACTGGCCTTAGGTTTCCCATGGAATCGGGGTGTGGAACTGCTGCAGACCAAGGGCTGAATGCCCCCCCCCCAGGAGTTTGATCCAGTAAGCTGCAGCTGGCACAGCGGGTCATTTGGGTTCCTGTCCCCTGGCCATCCAGGTGGCCTGTGGGGACTGTCACTGATAAGCTCACTCATTTCTGCCTTTACCAGGCAGAAAATGGAGAAACAGAAGACCCTAAGAGCACAGAGGGGGTAAATGCTTGTCTTGGTGGGGGTGTGGTCACTGAGGAAAAATAAAATTCAGTTGAATGTTCTCTGTTAAAGTTTAGGGAAACTGCATACCCTCTTTTTTAAAGATTTTATTTATTTGAGAGAGAGAGAGCACGAGCGTGGGGGGGTGCAGAGGGAGAAGCCGACTCCCCACCCAGCAGGGAGCCCGACGCGGGGCTTGATCCCAGGACTCTGGGATCATGATCCTAGCCAAAGGCAGACGCTCAACCAACTGAGCCACTCAGGCGCCTGGGAAACTGTATACTTTATTTATTTATTTTTAAAGATTTTATTTATTTATTTGAGAGAGAGAGAGAATGAGAGATAGAAAGCACGAGAGGGAAGAGGGTCAGAGGGAGAAGCAGACTCCCTGCTGAGCAGGAAGCCCGATGTGGGACTCGATCCCGGGACTCCAGGATCGTGACCTGAGCCGAAGGCAGTCGCTTAACCAACTGAGCCACCCAGGCGCCCGGAAACTGTATACTTTAAAAAGATGTTCCCTCAGAACATGTAAGATGAAGTTTGGTGTCCAGAAGCTGTGAGCCTGACACAGAGCTGCGTTGCCCAATATGGAAGCCATGGGCCCCCCAGGGCTGGTGCAGCTGAGACTCACTGCAAGGTTAAGTACACATCAGATGGCCAGATGCCAGAGAACTGGCACAAAAAGAGAATACCTCACAAGTAATTTTTATACTGATCATATGTTGAAATGATAATGTCGCACATTTGGGCTAATTAAAATACATTATTTAAATTTCCTGTTTCTTTTTACTTTTTAACGTGGCTACTAGAAAATGAGTGACACATGTGGCTCACATCATATTTCTGTTGGACAGCGCTGCTCAAGAACAATCACAACGACACTTTGCCCAAAACACTGAGTTACGGCTGTATGTACACATGTAGGAGGGGTCACACCCCCCAAGAAGCATAGGCTACAGTAAGGGTTAAAGATGCATGGGTGCATGTCCACGGTGCACGAGTCCTCGTCGTTACGTCTGTATGTGTTCTGGAAGCACTGAATAAGCCCCTCCTGTGTACTCAGCCAGAAAGGGCAGCAGGACTGGCTGGTGGGTGTAGACCTGCCCACGGTAGCGGTGATGGACCGTCCTGGCCACTCACTCATCCTGGCCACCAACCTTGCCAGCCAGCCTTGCGTATATTGGGGCGCCTGCTGTGCTGCTTCAACACCCTGTTCTTTTCCTTCCTCACACAACATGCATCTGGTGTGCGCTCATGGTCACTCATATTTGGCCTTGGCAGCCCCACCAGCCCATTTGAGCACTAGGGAGCACTGGCACCATGAAGGAGAAAGGCCGCTCTTGGGTACCATAGACAGGATGGGAGCAGCAACCCACACTCAGGCTTTCTGTCAACCCTTGATCCCCCCAGCCCTGCCGGCAGGGCTCACGGGGATGGGGAGTCAGGATCACATGGGCCACACCAGAGGTAAATGGCACAGTAGGTCCCACTGGGGTCAGCCAGCTCCCCAGCTGTAGGGTGTGTGTTTCAGGTTGCACTTGGGGTTTTGTTTCGGGGCAGGGGAGGGGAGACAGACTTTTTAACCTTCAGTGGTCATTGTCTTCAACTGTTTGAGGGCCGCTCAGGTATTGGGCCTGAGAGCATATCACCCCTCCCACCTTTGGCTCAGCTCCATCCTCCATTCCCTCTGACCCTAATTACCCCACGCAGGGACCTGGGGCAGATAGGACCAGCTCCAGAAAGTCTTTTGCAGGGTCCAGGGGCGCATGGCCGAGCCAGGCTTAACAGAGCCAGTCTGACCACTGATAGGCTGTGCACACCATTCTCCTGAGACCAGAATGTCACTCTCCTCAACCTCCCCAGCTCTGCATAAAATGAGGCCTGCCTGAGTCTCCCCACTGACTGAGAGCACATGATTCCTGAAGGTTCTAAGAATTGCACAGAGCTGGATAAATGGTCTACTTTCATTGTTAGATGGTGCTCTTAATGCTTTTTATGGCTCAAAGTTACATTGGTGTCTTATTTCCAGGGATTATCAACCTCATCAAGGTTAAAGATGAACATTATTTGCTGTTTTCTCCTTTCCTCTCATCCTTGAGTTTCCGGAAGGGCCTTGGTCACTATACTGAGAGGGAGAGGAAATTCCAGTGCGTGGCATGCTGAAGAAAAGCTACATTCAGACCCAGGCCCACATCTGAGATTCACCCTGCCATTTGCTGGGGTTGAGCTGTACTTGCAAGTCCTTCAGAAGCGCCCTGAGCTGAGTTTGCGGGGCACCTAAGTACCCCGGATTAGGCCAGGTGCTTACAGATGAGTTCTGTCAGTCTGGCCCAGCCTGGAGAGGGACATGGCCTCAGAGTGGGCAAGAGCATGTTGGGAGCTGCAAGGCGGTGGGGCGCATGCACTCATACAAGACAGGATCCTTGCCCACTGACCAGTCAGTGGGGACCAGAATATCAGCATTTGTAACAGGAAAAAGGAAATGTGTGGTGACAGCTCTCTACTTTGTGTCTGTCTTTTCCATGAGTCACTGGCAGGCTGAGTTGGCCCAGCTTCACCCCACCACATGTCCTCTGCCCTGGGTAACCTGTTACTATATCTTTGTTGAATCAACTGTACGCAAGCACTTGAGTGTGAAGCCCAGGGTGGCAAAGCAAGGGAAAATCTGAGCTGTCAGAATTTCAAGTGTGCCACCACTGTCACCCTTTCCATCCCACTGGGCAGCAGAGACCCCCTGTTCTCTGGAGAGGAGCTGTTCAGAAATGCTCTGTAGGAGGTCTGTCCTAGCTCTGCAGGAATCCTGGGAGAATGTAGTTGTATCAGAGAGCCTGGACAGCAAGTCTGATGCTCTGGAGGGCCCAGGGTCTGCAGTACTGCAAATGCAGGTGCCTCCCCTTGTTCAAGATGACAGATGGGAAAACAGGAATGACTTAACATGCCCCCCAAGAAACCTCATGGTGTCTTTTCTCCAAAAACCTACAAGTCCCCAGTGCAGGCTATCTGACTAATGGACATTGAGGCTAAGGGTCAAACACAGGACACATACCCTGGTCAGAGTCTGCAGGGTGGACCTTGCCAGGCTGGAGAAGAGCCCTGGCCGAGGGAGGCCCAATGGGGAGGGACTGTGACCCAGTGGGTGAGCCTGCTCCCTGAGTACGTTTTGTCCACTGTGGTGTCCTGTCAGTCTTATGAATGCTGTCAACACCCTGAGTCCAGGGAAGCCATTCCTTTAAAATAAAGCTCTGGCCTAGGTGTGGTTGCATTTTCCTGTCTTCACAGAAAGAGGGTAAGGTAAGTAACTTACAAGTCAAGGGATATCTGCACCAGTGGTCTCCATCTAAATGTGACTACCTGTGGTCAGGGCAAGTCTCGTTGAGCACTCAAGCCTTGGCAGGAACCCAATCACAGGATCCGGAAGCTGAACTTGGGGGCAAGAGGCTTGACCACCAAATGTTTGCAAAATACTTTTGAGGTGGGTAGGGAAACACCTGTGAGAAAGAGCGTCCGAGACCCAAATCCAAAAGCCTGACTTCCATTCCTGATGGTTGTGCCTCCTGCACCATCAGTGCACGCAGTTCAATTGTGGGCAGTCTGGAGCGGGGAGTGCCGGGGGAGGCAGGAGGTAGCAGCCCAGCTGGTGAGCCCTCCTGCACTGCTGGTGGTTGGCTGAGTCCTTTACCTTTCCAGGGCAGGAGTCAACCAGCTGAGCTCACCTTTCCCAAAATGGGCCTTGTGGACTTTCCCCATTGCTCCTTGCACTGCTTCTGTCCTAGGACCCATGCTTGAGGGCCTCCTGACTCTGCCCAGGATTTCTCTTGGATGTGCCATCTCCAGGCAGTCCTCAGCCTCAGGGCTCAGGGCTGACAGAGGGTTCCTGGCTGAAAAGGTCGGACAGAGATGTGCTAGACGTAATGTGCAAGGAACACAAATGTAGTCGACGTGCCAACTGTGAAGTCTGCCCTGGTTCCTAATGGTTGTATTCTGTGTCTGCTCAGGGAGAAACAAAGGCAGCATGGCTCTGAGTGGAGGCCCAGCACTGGCAGAGCGCGGTGGCCGGGAAGGATCCAGCCAAAGGATGCCCCGACAACCCAGTGCCACCAGGCTGCCCAAGGGGGGCGGGCCGGGGAAGAGCCCCACTCGGAGCAGCACCTGAGATGGGCAGATTTCTCACGCCGTCCAGCTCTGGGCTTCGCCAGTCTCCTAGCAGAGGCTACCTGGGCTTTCCCCCAGTTGGTAATAAAGCTTTGTGAAAAACCGAGGGTCCATCCAAGCTGTTTTCTATCACCTTTTGAATATATTAAGACACAAAGATTTAGAATCAGATCTGCCTGGTGGGCCTGGCTGTGCTACAGCTGAACTAACTGACTTAAACCAGTGATTTCACCCTCCTGTACCTTATTTTCATGTTGGAGAGAAAATATCTGTACAGTTGGCCCTTGAACGACACAAGGGTAAGGGGCACCAACGTCCTGCATAGTTGAAAATCCGAGTATAACTTTTGAATCCTCAAAGCTTACCTACTAGTAGCCTACTGTTAACAGGAAGCCTTACCAATAATATAAAGCCGATTAATACATACTTCATATATGTATTACATACAGTATCTCTTACCATAAGAAGATGCTAAAGAAAGGAAAATCATAAGGAAAATACATTTACACTACCATACTGTAAAAAATCCATACAGTTGACCCTGCACCATTGAAACTCCTGTTGTTCAAGGGTCAACTGTATTCCTAGATCTTTTATAAATGGACATCAACGTGTTTTGCTAAAGGGAAAGGTGCAGTGCTTTTGCCGAGACTGTTCCTAGGGTGCTCAGCTGTAAGGGCCTGAGTGTGGAGGGGGGATGCTGTCATATAGGGTATGTGCACAGCGAAGTCAAAGATGAACTGTTGTAACCTAGAGCTCACCCTGTGGGTTGTGAATGCCGTGCAAAATCCAGTAAGATCTTTCCCCCCTAAAAATGTCCTCACCCTACACATGTGGCCCATGGTGTTAGGGACTTTGTCAACAGCCCCCTTCGACGGACCTCAGATGTTCAAACTTCGTTCCAAACTCTTACCATGTGCCATTAACAGAGAAGCCTGAAAAATGACAAACACAACTGAAAATCTAACTCAGGTTTCCTAGAATCTAGGGAAATCTTTGTGCCTTGGAACCTTGATTTGGAAACACTGTTTCCCCCAGGTCATGTCACATCAACAGTGGCTCCTTACAGATATAAGTAGTGCTGCACCGAACTCCTACAGTACAGCCCGGGACAGCCTTCCATGTGGCCCAGCAGGCCTTGGGGTCCTACCCATCCCTGCCGGCAGAGACCCATGTGCCGCTGTGCATCACAATAGACAGAGGCTTCATAGAGAAACTTTAATTGTAAACAACTGGAAACAAGATGTGCTGCAAGGTGGCAGGAGGGGGTGAGGGGGTGGGGGGGAGAGGAACCCCTGCCAGCCCCGCTCCCATTCAGTATTCTTCCCCTTCTTCGGCCTCTGCTTCCACGGAATCCACACCCACCTCTTCATAATCTTTCTCCAGAGCTGCCAGGTCCTCCCGGGCCTCAGAGAACTCCCCTTCCTCCATGCCTTCCCCCACGTACCAGTGCACAAAGGCCCTCTTTGCGTACATGAGGTCAAACTTATGGTCCAGGCGGGCCCAGGCCTCGGCAATGGCGGTAGTGTTGCTCAGCATGCACACAGCCCGCTGCACCTTGGCCAGGTCACCCCCGGGGACGACGGTGGGGGGCTGATAGTTGATGCCCACCTGCCAGAGAAAGGGAAGAAAAAAAGTCTGTGAAGCTTCAGTCAAACCCAGAAATGGAGGCTGCTTTCATGGAAACGGAAGACATGTAGGTGCCTTCTTCATGCCAGGCGAGGTGTCAGGTGAGCAGGCTGCTGGTTTCTAGACAAGGACAATGGGGAAAAAGAAGCCCTGTAGCTGGCCAGCCTGGCTCGGGCCCAAGCTGCCGGAAGGGCTGTGTCCCAGCACCTGAGCCATGTGAGGTGCTCAGGTAACAGGACTGTTTCTTCTAAAAAGGGATACTACTGGAATAAAAGGCACTTAAAGTTAATCCTAAAAATAGAAAGAAAGAAGAAGAAAGAGAGAAAGAAAAAGAAAGAGAAAGAAGAAAGAAAAAGAAAGAAAGAAAAAGAGAAAAAGAAAAAGATAGAGAAAGAAAGAAAAAGAGAAGGAAGGAAGGACAGAAGGAAGGGATACTACTTTCTATTCTTCAGATATTATTTTCTCCATAGGCTTCCATAGATGGGGATTCATTTCTGTAGCTGAAACCTCTTCCACTCGAGTCAGAGCGCTATGGTTTTATCACGAGGGGAGATCATACCCACGTCTCCCATCAAGTGAGCCAGTGTGTGCATCACAGGATGACAGGAATGCTGTCAGAGGTCCAAAGACTGTTGCTCCTGCTGCAACAGGAGATGGCCTATGTGTGTGCTAAGTAGAAGAAAGGGGGTGATGTTCAAGGGCTGGGACCAAAGGGCAGGCATTCTAGAATAGTTTCCAAATCAGGGGACAATGTGACCAGAGATTTGGGCAGCAATACATAGGGTCAATTAGAACCAGGCTCAGCAAACATTGTCTATAAAGGGCAAGACAGCACATATCCGAGGCTGGGCAGGCCACATGGTCTCGGTCACAATTACTAATTCTCTCTTTGTAGCACAAAAGCAGCCACAATGACACGCCAATTAACAGGTGTGGCTGTGTTCACATAAAATTTTATTTACAAAACTAGGTGGCTTGTCTGCCAACCGTGCTGACCCCTGAACCCAGAGTAGAAAGTGCTAGTTAAGGACCCAGTGCAGCGAGCCCACCAGAAGCGGTGAGTTCTGAGCCAACAGAGATGGCATGAAAAGCAAGGCAGAGAGAAGCCCATTTTCCCAGATGGAAAGCATTGATAGAGTTTAGTATTCAAGTATTGGACAAAGCTGCAAAGCGACAGCAAGTTTCCTATACTGTATCGAATGGAAGGTTGGTATAAACTACGTTGGAGGCAAACTCAGGCCAAAATTGTTGAGCTTACCAAATGAGAAATAAATATGTTGCCATTTTTTTCCAAAAATATTCATGAAAGTTTTTCTTTAAATCAAACACTGCATGGAACATTTAAATTGGGTTTAATTTCTAAATGCCTGTGGAATAAAGTGGGTTTTAGTGACAACAATGTTTATAATAATGCCCCAATTTCAAATATCCACATAAATTGTTAAAATGCTTTGAAAATTTCTACATTTCTAAATCCAAACTACATTTCCCCACACTAATTCACCACCCAAAAGAAGGAACAAAAATCGTTCCAAAAATTTCCTGTTCTGTTAAAAAAAAATTCTCACCACAGATATATAGTGTGATTCCTCAGGAAGGAAGTTCAAAAGGCACCAATGAATAAATTATCACTCTGGCTCACTAATTTATAACCAAGGGGCTGGCTGCCAAGGAACGGGGGTATTCTCCACAAAGGGCATTCTGTGCTTGGTCTGCTGCTGCTGACAGGTAAAACCACACCACATTACCCAGTCCTACCTTAAATCCAGTCGGGCACCAATCCACAAACTGGATGGTGCGCTTGGTCTTGATGGTGGCGATGGCCGCGTTGACATCTTTCGGGACCACGTCCCCCCTGTACAACATGCAGCAGGCCATGTACTTGCCGTGCCGAGGGTCACACTTGACCATCTGGTTGGCCGGCTCGAAGCAGGCGTTGGTGATCTCGGCCACGGACAGCTGCTCGTGGTAAGCCTTCTCGGCAGAGATGACCGGGGCGTACGTGGCCAGGGGAAAGTGGATGCGGGGGTACGGGACCAGGTTGGTCTGGAATTCCGTCAAGTCCACGTTCAGGGCCCCATCGAATCGCAGGGAGGCCGTGATGGAGGACACGATCTGCCCGATCAGACGATTGAGGTTGGTGTACGTGGGCCGCTCGATATCCAGGTTGCGCCGACATATGTCGTAGATGGCTTCGTTGTCCACCATGAAGGCACAGTCGGAATGCTCCAGGGTCGTGTGGGTGGTCAGGATGGAGTTGTAGGGCTCCACCACGGCCGTGGACACCTGGGGGGCTGGGTAAATGGCAAATTCCAGCTTGGACTTCTTGCCGTAGTCCACCGACAGCCGCTCCATGAGCAGAGACGCGAAGCCAGAGCCGGTGCCGCCCCCGAAACTGTGGAAGATGAGGAAGCCCTGCAGCCCCGTGCACAGATCCGCCTGAAAGCAAGCACAGACCGTGGGTCAGTGCCTGCAGAAGCCACACCGCCGACCTCCAACGAGCCACGGTCACTCCTCTTTTCCTCTGCAGGACGCTACGCGTTCGAATCGGCTGCGGCGCACACGCGTGACACTCAGAAGCAAAGCAAGGCAGACGTGAAGATGGGTGGACGATGGATGCACTGAAGCCACCCGTGAAGGAAGACGTGGACTCAAGATTCCGGCCTGGGGTTTGGCCAAAGTGACCTCCTGGTCCCCATCCCCGCCACCCTCCCATCCAGGGCAGCGTCCACGGGAAGCCCTCTCGGCGCCCCCTTACCAGTTTCCGGATCCGGTCCAGGACCAGGTCGACGATCTCCTTGCCGATGGTATAATGGCCTCTGGCGTAATTATTGGCTGCGTCCTCCTTCCCGGTGATCAGCTGCTCTGGGTGGAAGAGCTGCCTGTAGGTCCCCGTGCGCACTTCATCTACAGAGAGGACGCGTGGGCCGCGGGTCTTTAAGGCCTGTTGTTAACTCACCGAGGGGGAGGGATTCGGGGACTCTCTGCATCTACCACGCACAGGCCGTGCCTTGGGGGTCGGCAGCATCGGTGTCTCACAGGAAATGTCTCTGTGTGACGTGCAGACCACAACTGCGGTCTGTGGATCTAGCAGGGGAAGTCCACTGGAGGTACAAAGTCCAATCTGACTGGTTCCCAAAGAAGGGAAAGAGCTCACACCTGCACACACACGATTATTTCTTCCCATCTGTAGCTACACGCAAGGAGTGTGACTAAAAAGCCCTGACATACTAGACAGTCACCAGGTCAGCATGACCTCTGCCAGGCAGTCCCGTCAGGGCATCCTAGGTGGCCTGTGGCTCACAGGCTTCAGGCTGACGTTCTGTCTTCTCCTGGGTGGCCCCTGAAAGGTGCCCTCTCTTTGCAGCTCTCCCTGGCCACCGCCTCAGGCTTCTCAGCTGGAGGATCCCAAGGAATGTTCTCTATTTACCTTCCGTGTCTAAGACGCAGGTCATGACTCTTGTGCACCAGCATCTCCATGTGTGCAGCGTTAAGGAGGGACCCGAGACCCAGCACCCTGAAGGTGGGGTCCACGCAACCACCTGCCTGGGTCTGAGGCGGCCACGAGTGAATCTGTTACCAGTCCCTCTTTTCTGTACATTAGGTTCTCCTAAATTAGGAGCCTCGGTGCCAAGGACACTTGAAGCACTAACCCTGTAGTTTCTCACCTAACTCAGCCACAGGCATATACTCGCACGTCCCATCCTTTCTGTGGAAGGAGTCAAGGGAGCACAGGGAGGCCCTCCCACTGTCCCAGGAAAGCCGCCAAGTGCCCCAGTACCTACCGACCACGGTGGGCTCCAGGTCCACAAATACCGCTCTGGGCACATGCTTGCCAGCCCCAGTCTCGCTGAAGAACGTGTTGAACGAGTCATCCCCACCGCCGATGGTTTTGTCACTTGGCATCTGACCATCAGGCTGAATTCCATGTTCAAGGCAGTACAGTTCCCAGCAGGCATTGCCGATCTGGACACCTGCCTGCCCCACGTGGATAGAGATGCACTCGCGCTGGGAACCAGAACATAAACATTGAGACCTCCTTGTTTTCAAGGCAATCAACATTATATGGCATGCAAATGAGACCCAAAATCATAAGTTAATATTTGTAAAATATTTTGCTGTCTTAAGATCTCCTCAGTCATTACATCCCATGAGCTTCCATGATAATTTTATATCTGAACACTTATCTATCCAACATGGATGTATATACACTTAAACTATGAATAGTAATAGAATCACTATAAATTAGTCTTCCAAGCCATTAGTAAGTAATGTTAAAAATTAACAAAACAATGGCTTAGCAAAAATCAGACAAAATATATAAAATAACAGTTTATAGTCATTGGAAAACAGGCAGCACAAGACAGTGATTCAAACAATGTAAGCCTTAGCATTGTCCCAGAAGACTGCTGGGAAGTTTCCAGGCTGCATGGCGGGGGGGGACCCAAAGCCCAGGGACCTCCCCGAGTTGAGAGAGAATTCAGTGTTCAGGGAGGCCAAAGCATATAGAAACCACGGTACTAATAGTGGAGGGGAGAGAGTTGCAAAGAAAGAACCCCGTGGACATCAGCAGAGTCCCACTTGAGTCTACAGTGGAGCAGCACTCAGCACCCATGTGTGACGGACTCCTGACCTCACATCAGTCATGAAGGAAAGGCCTCCTAACTCACAAAGCACTGAAGGGAGTCCTCAGTAGTGGGGCCAAATGAGACCTACACTAAAGGCTGTTTGGAACTCACCTAAAGCTTAAAAGCAAGCCTCAACAGGATCAAATTATTTCCAGGTATTTAACAGCATCCCAGAAGAAAGCCTAAAAATAGTTAAGGCAATACCAAAAAAAACACCCCAAAACAAAAAACAAACCCTAGCACCCAACAATTTAAAATTCATAATGTCGGGGCGCCTGGGTGGCTCAGTCGTTGAGCATCTGCCTTCGGCTCAGGTCATGATCCCAGGGTCCTGGGACTGAGCCCCACATCGGGCTCCCTGCTTGGCGGGGGGCCTGCTTCTCCCTCTCCCACTCCCCCTGCTTGTGTTCCCTCTTTCGCTGTCTCTCTCACTGTCGAAGAAATAAATAAAATCTTTAAAGAAAAAAAATAAAAAATAAAAAATAAAATTCATAATGTCAATCTAAACTTAACAGGTATAAACACACACACACACAAAATATATAACCATATGAAAAGAAAAAGTAATCAGTACAAACTAACTGAACTAGTTGACAGAACTAGTAGATGAGAACATTAAAATAGTATTATGTATCCATATCTCAGGAAGGTAGAAGAGAAAATGAGGAGAGATATAAGAAAGACCTATATCAAACTGCTTATGATAAAAGAACGCCTGGGGGCGCCTGGGTGGCTCAGTCGTTAAGCGTCTGCCTTCAGCTCAGGTCATGATCTCAGGGTCCTGGGATGGAGCCCCATGTCGGGCTCCCTGCTTGGCGGGAAGCCTGCATCTCCCTCTCCCACTCCCCCTGCTTGTGTTCCCTCTCTCACTGTCTCTCTCTCTCTCTATTAAATAAATAAAATCTTTAAAAAAAAAAAAAGAATGCCTGAAATGCAAAAAACACACTGGATGGAATTAACAGCTGATTATATATTACAGAGAAGATGTGAGGGTGGGGCGCCTGGGTGGCTCAGTCGTTAAGCATCTGCCTTCCGCTCAGGTCATGATCCCAGGGTCCTGGGATCAAGCCCCACATCGGGCTCCCTGCTGAGCGGGAAGCCTGCTCTCCCTCTCCCACTCCCCCTGCTTGTGTTCCCTCTCTCGCTGTGTCTCTCTCTGTCAAATAAATAAAATCTTTAAAAAAAATATGAGGATGACAGAAAAGTTCTAGAATAGAAGTGGTGGTATCTATGGAACATATGACTATACTTAATGTGACTGAATTACGGTTAAAATGGTAAATTTGGTGCCATGTGTATTTTACCATAAAAAAGTTGATACTCAGCAACATGGATGAATCTCAAAGCAATTATAGTATATGAACGAATTCAAACAACAAAAAATGAACTCAATAATCCCATATTATAAAATTCTAGAGAATACACTAAGAAGGTTATTAGTGGGGCAGGAGTGGCAAGAGGGAGCATTTTCAAAGGGGTAGGAGGAAATTTTGGGGGTAACAGGAGTTCTATTAGCTTTATTGAGGTGATGGTTTCATGAATTATCAATATGTTAATGAATGTGAAACCTTAAAAAAAAAAAAACTAACCAAGGGAGAGCCTCTGCACTGCTGAAAGATCAGTGTTTTAAAAGACCTGTTCTTTTTTTTTTTTAAGATTTTATTTATTTGACAGAGAGAGACACAGC